TGTGTCAGAGTTCTCTCAGCCCGACCCACCTCACAGGGTGTCTGTTGTGGGGAGGGGAAGGGAAAGGAGTTTGTAAGCCGCTCTGAGACTCCCTTGGGTAGTGAAGGGCAGGGTGTAAATCCTATCTTTTCTTCTTCTTCTTGTGTGGTGGGCTAGTTGTGGCAAATGGTAGGGAAGCTCAGTATTTCTGTATACAGTTGTAGGTGCTTTATTGCAATGTGGTATGGCCTGATATTATGTTCTTATTCCAGTGTGGGGTGTGTGGGGCTTTCTGGAAGCTGAGTGATAGGGTCGCTCCAAGTGATTGCCAGAAGTGAGATGCGTCCTGGTCTTGTGTCTTACAGATAATCTTACAAATAGTCCTTTGCATTTATATCATGCTTTCAACTTTAAAAGGATTCATTGGGTCACAGTCCTTTTAATGACTTAGCAATGCCTCTGGCCCAGCCCCAGCACACACACACCCCGGAAATTGGAAAGTCTATCCCCTTGACATCAGGTGCAATGCACAGCGGAGATCTTTTGCAGCAGTGTTTGAATCCACCCCGGCCCCTTAGGACTGGGAGATGATGAGGCACCCCCTGCAGTTGACTGGCAGTGGATTAGGATTGGAAAAGGCTTCTTCTCCCGCGGCATCAGTAACCTGCAGAACTCACCATCACTGGATGCAGTGGTGGCCACTAGGTTAGGTCGGGTTAGAGACATTCAGCAAGCCCAACAGCGTGCACACTCTCTCCGCATCAAAGCAAACAATGGACACAGTTTCTGTGCACGGTTGCCAGCTCCAGGTTGGGAAATACCTGGAATTCAGGAGCATCCACCACCTCCCGAGGTAGTCTGATCCACTCTGTGTGTGTGTGGCGCGCGCTCAGCAGCTGGACTTCCTTCTCTCCAGGCCCTGCCTGGAGGTTGGCAACCCCATAATTGGTGGGTGCACGGGGGGGGCGCCAGAAGGTGGTCTCACCTAGAGTACAAAAAACCCTGGAGCCGGCCCTAAGTGCAAGTTAAATGGAAGAAAAAATAACATCCTAACTAGCTGCCTAGTTCTACATCTTGTTTCTTTGTTAGCCCAGACTTACATCGAGGATGTAAGTGTGTGGAACAAAGGAAAGGAAGTTCCCCCCCAAAGCTGCTCCCCCTTGTGTGCTTGCAGAATAGCATGTACCTTCTCCAATTTATTGATTAGCCAAAGGTCAGTCTAGAGCAGGGGTGGCTTTGGGATCTGCACCAATAACATGGACTTAATTGCCTTTAGATTATATGAGGCTTCTAATGACAGCAGTATATTAAATGGAAAAGCATCATTCGAGTGTTTCTTCTGTCATGAAATGCCCTGTATTTTTGCAGGATTTTTGCCATGGACAAGTGATGTGGCCCCCATTAAGCACCCTCCAGGTTAAAATCGCTGGCCCTGGGAAATCGTGTAAGCAGGTTTGTCAAGAAAACCAGCTCATCTGTGAGCCTTCCTTTTTCCAGCACCTGAACAAGGACAAAGACCTCCTCAAGTAAGTATTGAGGTGTAGGCAGCAAGAAAGCAAGTGAGAATGTTAGCATATTCTGAAACACCATTTTCATTAATCTACAAAACAAATGCAAACATATTCACCGAGGATGTAAGTAATACCCCAATATAAAACAATTATGCTTTTATCACCGACCCTTGCATACAGGGGTGGAAAATGGTCAGTGAAATCAGTAAAAGTCAGTTTTTTCATCTTGGTCAGTAATTTGTCAGTTTTTTAAAAAATTGGTCCGTAAAGTCAGTATTTCTTTATGCTTTTCTGTTTTCATTACTGCGTTTTTGGGGAAACATGATGACTTCCCAGTGAGAAGACAGATTGTTTTCCATTTAGTTATGAAGTACTTTAAGGACTTTGTTCCTAAGAGTAAAAGTCATTTGGTGAAATCTTCCACAAAGTATAGAAACATAATTAACCTCTTAAAACATGAGACAATGAAAGCAGAGGTGATGGATATTGTGGGATTCAACATGGCACAGCTCATGCTAGGAAGAGTTGAGAAAGCAATGGAAGGCGAGGACAAGGGGGTGGGGAATGCTTGTGGATGCAGTGCAGAAAACTGCTGAGAAACAAAAGAGTTTGTGAATACCTTTATTCATTTATTCAATTTATACCCCGCCCTCCCCACCGGAGCAGGCTCAGGGCGGCTTATAAAGAGATTAAACAAATTATATACAACCTTAAAACAAATAATAAAACTCTACATTATCATAAAGTGCTAGTAAGTGATCAGGTACGTACAAAGGCAGAGCCAATACTAGTGTTGTAATCAGATGATCTGTATTGGGGGTTGGCTCATCTTGGTCTCTATATTTAGGCAAAAGAACAGGCTGTTGATGGTAAGCCAAGGACCAAGGCACTGTCACTTCTCAGTTATGTGATGTTACTTGGTGCAGCTTGCAGGCCCTGCGGAACTGTAAAAGGTTTAGAGGGCCCTGATCTCTTCTGGGAGCTCATTCCACCAGTACCAGGCCCTTGCCCTGGTTGTGGCCAGCCTGGCATCTTTAGGACCTGGGAGGCCAATAGTTTTTGTGACCCTGAGCTCAGTGCTCTCTGGGGAACGTGTGGGGCAAGGTGTTCCCTTAGATATGTGGGCCCCTGACCATAAAGGGCTTTAAAGGTAAGTGAATTCGGTATGCCATCGGCAGCCAGTGCAGTGCTTTCAGCACAGGCTGGATGTGCTCCTGCATAGGGAGGTCCATCAGAAGCCTGGCTGCAGCATTTCGCACTAGCTGTAAGCGTCTGGATTTGGGTCAAGGGCAGCCCCATGTAGACAGCGTTACAGTAGTCCAATCTCGAGGTGACCATCACATGGATCACTGTCGCCAAGTCATTGCATTTGAGGAAGGGAACCAACTGCCTAATCAGCCGAGGTGGTAAAAGGCTGATTTGGCAGTGGCTGCTACCTGGGCCTCCATTGTTAGTGAAGCATCCAGGAGCACTCCCAAGCTCCTAACCTCCGGCGCTGGCACCAATGGCGCCCCATCGAAGCTCAGAAGTAGGATTCCTACCCTTGGGCCACCCTGGCTCAGGCACAGGACCTCCACCTTCGTCGGATTCAATTTCAGTTGGTTCAGTCTGAGCCAACCAGCTACAGAAGTATGAAAGAGCATTCTCTGCACAAGTGCAGAGAATGCTCTTTCATTCTTTCTTCAATGTGTTTGATCCTGGAAGCCATGGTGGTCTGGTGACGGCAGCGGCAGTTGCCAAAGAGCCCGGGGGGCATGGAAGCAACAAAACAGCCTGAGAGCCATTCCAGCCAGCAGTTGTCACAGAGCCCAGGGGCTGCAGCCTGGGAGCTGCACTGGACTGAGTGGTGGCTGCTTGAAATTTTGGGGGCTACAATGGACCTGGGGGCTGCTGGAGAGCCTGGGGGCTGTGGCAGTGACAAAGCAGCTGGGGAGTCCTGAGAACATCCTCTAGATGACTTGATACTACATAACTTGCATGATCTAACAAGGCCTGGCATTCACCCTATGGAAGCCAGTGCAGTGCAGCAGTTAGATATTTAGAGTAGGGTCTGCAACACCCAGGTTCAGATCCCCATCTTTCTCTGGAAACTGAATAGGTAGCTTTGGACCAGTCACATACTTTCAGCCTAACCTACCTCACGAGGTTGTTGTGCCGATAAAAAGGAGAAGAGAATAATGTAAGCTGCTTTGTTTCTCTCTGTGGAGAAAGACTGTAGTTTTCCTAGGTAGAGGCTGTGGGGGAGGGGGGTGGAAACAGACAGTTGCAAATAAGTAGGTTAGCTGTTGGGTGGGAAGGAGATAGGGTTGCTAACTCCAGGTTGGGAAATTTCTGGAGGTTTGAGGAGGGGAGGGACATTAGTCAGATATAATACCATAGACTCCACCCTCCAAACCAGCCATTTTCTCCATGAGAACTACCCTTGTCAATCTCCAGGTGAGGGCTGGAGATCACCCAGAATTGCAACTGCTCTCCAGATGATAACGATCAGTTTCCTTGGATAAAATGGCTGTTTTGGAGGGTGGAATCTATGCCATTATACTCTGCTGAGGTTGCTTCCCTCCCCAAACCTCATTGTCCCAAGGCTCCACCCCCAATCTTCAGGAATTTCCCACCCTGAAGCTGGCAGCTCTTCTGTCTTAGTGCTACCACCCACTCTCAGGGCTGCCACAGAGACACCAGGATGTATCTCTTTAAACCAGGGTCATTCTAACCAGCACAGTAGAAGCAATAGAAAAATCCTTTGTGGGTTTGTCAATTAAGTTTGGTTGTCTAAGTGTGGTGCCTGGGTTAGTGACTCAGTCCAAATTACAAAGGCAATAAAATGATAAAGCACACTGGTAAGGGGAAAGAGAGTGTGCAAAGACAAAACAAAGAAATAAAACCTAACTCACTATCTATGTTACTAGACCTGAGCTGATAGCTCTAAGCAGCAGTAGTTCAAGGAGCAGAGCTGGTGACAAGGAATTAGGTGTTCCTCCTTCCGGCCCAACAGTACTCTAGTCAAGGTCACCATCCGTCTTACCTTACGCTCTGCCTGGAAGAGTGCATGGAATCCTCGTGCAAGACTCCTGGCTTTTCACTCCTTAATTGTTCCAAGCAGATGCAGCATTCTTGCCTTGAAAGCTCTCTCGCTGGCTCTGGCAACCAACTGGTGGCAACAACCCACGAGTAGCCTCCTTTGATGTGCCTGCCTCCCACCTAAATAGTCATTTAGCTGTCAAACTAATTGATAAACCAGTCAGTGATCTACACCTGACGATCTAGATCAGAAGTTGTCAAAGATCTCTTAGGCTAATATGTTGACCGCTAACAGCTGCATGAAGTTACAGCAGCCTGTAATTAATAGCAGGTGGTTTGTGTTTGGCTGACCTGCCCTCCTAACATCATCCAGCTAAAACTTAACTGACTGACTCATGCAAGTACTTAAGTCTCTTAAAGGCCTGTCTCTTGACAGGGCAACTGTTCTCTGTATCTGGGAGATACCTAAGGTCCTGGGCTAACACTGCTGGACCAGAAGCATCCCTACAAAGCTGCGCAACCAGCTCACTTTCTCAGAGGGCACCAAAAAATGCCACCAGTGCCTGCTGCATGGAAAAGGCATGCCTCAAATGCGGAAGCGCAAACTCCCACCCAAACCCTGTGTAGACCTTTGAGGACTGAAGGAGAAATAGGCCGTCTGACATCCGTCTGTTGACCAGATTCAAGCACCCAACCCTCCAGCATCTTCCACACTCGGAAGTTGCTAGTGTCTTCCTTGAACTACCGCCAAATTGTTGCTCCAAAAATGACACATGTTGTTAGCCAAATCATTCCCCCACAGCCAGACAGCCATCAGTACGGGGGGAAACTCCAGGAAAATGAGATCCCTGTTCAAACCTGCTGTCATCCAGTCCTGCAACCAATCTTCCATGCACCAATGCCCATGGAAATAAACCCCAAATCCCAGAGAACCAGCAGCATCAGAGGTAACCTGAAGTTCCGCTTTGAGCTTCATGCCCTTCCTCCAAAAACAAAAAAAAAAAAACCCCAAACCTGTTAATGGACCACCGTGCACTGTAAAAACGATTGCCAGCCCAGATACTTCCTTCCAGGTTCACGTTAGGATCCTGTAGAGGATGCCTGGCCCTCTGGAGTAATTCTTTCTTCCACAGGAAAGAAGGAGAGGGAAGGGGCTCCTGTTGGAGCAAACCAAGCCCAGGGGATGCTTTCCCCCACCCCTCACTCCCAAACTGGAAAGAGGGAATAGGAATTCTGCCGCGGGGCAGTGGCCGGTGTCAGTTAAGAGGTGAAGACTGGAAGCTGTGCCTGCTCCTTTAAACTAAATTTAAAAATGTAGCTAGTGCTCCATGGCAAACAAGCCCAGGGGCCATCTCCCCACCCCTCACTCCTAAACTGGTACTCTGATACTCTTTACTTTATTAATGTTTGTAATCCTAATCTTATTGCATTGCTTATTAGAACTCTCACACAATTTGCTAGTAAGTAAAGATTTATTCACAGCAAAAAGCCAGCACTCTAATACAACAGTCGAACTAACTCAAACTAAATGTATATACAATTTGCTAGAATTACATTGTTTTACAGCATATCATCTGCCTTGAGTCTCAGTCAGAAAGGCATACTATAAATAAAAAAAATATGGGCTGCCCAGCACTCTACTCATTTGCTCCATTTCTGGCTATGGGCCTGATAGATCTTCATTATCTTAACAGCACAAATATCCGGATTCATTTTGAACCTTGTACCATCCTATATCTAGCTGATAAGTTCTTAAAACTGTTTAATCTAATTTTCTGGATTCTGCGTCACTTCTAGATAAATGGAGCGGTAAACACTAAGCAATTCCCTTTTAAATTACTGGTGTTGCTTTGGTACTGTGGAATTTGGAACTAATGGGACTTGACTTGGTGACATGAGTAAGTTTTTATACATGAACTAAATGGGAACTTAAAGATGACCCATATGAATAGTCTACCTTCCATCTGGTGAAACCTGATGCTGCACCGTAAACCCTCTGTTATCTTACCTGCATTTGTAATGTAAATTGGAAGTAGTGATTACTGTGTCCTGGATTATTTGAAGTGATTATTCGATTGCAGGGTAATTTTTTAAAATTTTATTCTACAGGTACAACATTGAATGCCATACAGTTGAATCTGCAAATGATATCATTATCCCATCTTTTGATGAAAAGAAAAAACACTGTGTTTTCCAAGGTGATCTCTTGCTGTTCAGCTGTGCAGGATCTCATCCAAACCACAAAAGGATCTGCCCTTGTAGAGACTACCTTAAAGGACAAGTTGCACTTTGTAAAGACTGTCTATAGCAACAACTCCTACAACTTTATTATGGGACAAGAAAGCAAGTAGCTTGGAGAAGAACTGCTGACATTTCCTGCACTTTGCCCAGTTGACTTGCTGCAGGCAGAACAACTGTTGAAAAGCGGAAATCTGTACCAAGATGGGGCAGATTATCTACTTTAAAAAATCAGTGATTTCTATTTTTTCTTAAGTGAGAAATCCTAGCAAAGGTCATTGAACTCTCTTATCCACTTAAGAGAGGCAGTGGCAAATGAAGTTCAGCGCTTCGTAAGAGGAAATCAGGAGCTTGGGATGCATTGGGGCATATATTTTTTTAACCCAACAACTCAATTAGCAATTTTCTGAATAATATTTCAATTACAAAAAGAACAAAAAATAGGTCTGGAAGAGACTGGACAGCGCAGGAAAAAACTGGTACATATCCTAAGTGCACTGTTCCTTTGGTTTCGCTGACCCTTCAGTGCTGGTGCTGTCCCAATGAACTTGAAACAACAAGGTAACCCAGCTCCTGAAAATATCACCCAGTCGGCTACCGGTTTCTCTCTTGCCCTTCACATTTTGCAGATTACCATCCACAGCGTCTCAGCTGTCCCAAGATGCCTGAGCAATAGCACCATGAACTGGGAGGAATGGTGGCTGCTGGACTGACAAATCCTTTTGGCTTGATAATAGATTATAATTGTGGCATTCATCAGGGCTTAAATGCCCAGGTAAATATATATTGTAAATGGTTTGCTGGTTCTGCCTAGAATCATCGCTGCACTCCTTTTCTCCCCCCACCACCCTTCGGTCACAGAATGGTATGCAGAAATAAGTGTGATAATGTTCAGAGAGAAGTGGTGTCCTTGGAGCAATATTATCCTGACTTTTCTGTAAGGCACTGAAAAGGTGATTGGAAGGTGAAAGTATAAAGAAAGCAGTCATGACAGAATGTATGGTAGGAGAGTGGACTTCCCGGACATCCAGTGGTTGTTATAATGTCATGTTGGACACACAAACACAAAATGCTTATGAGTGTGTGTGGGTCACTTTTTTGTACTTAACAAAAGCAAAGTGTGGGGAGGCAGCCCATTGTATTTAAAGTTTCAGTTAATCAAAATCTGTTAAGCAGATTTTGCCTGCAGAAAGGAGGTCAGCTCTTCCTTTTTTGGAAAAAAAAATGTATAGTAACTTTTATTTTTAAAAAATGTTTTTGCAGCACAACTGGCATCTTAAATGCACTATTTATGACTGGGGGAGAATTATATTAGTAGATAATGAATGTTTCATCTTTTGCAGCTAGATCTGAATGCCACCAGAGGTTGGAAAAAAGTGGGCTTTTTTGAACATTGCATCTGAGAGTGATTTCTAGTGGAAAAGAGACTCATTTCTGTTCTTTTGTAATCTCTCTTAATTCATTATTTGGTACTCATTATTTTCTGTGAGGAGCACTAACCTATCTTTTGACATACCAAAGACCATAAGGCAAAACATTAGTCTCTAACAAATTTTCAAGATAAGGGGTTCCTTTAAGCAAAGGAAAGGAAAAAAGTCCCAACGTTCAATTTCTTAAAATATTACCTTTTATTTCAGTTGCTTTTCATTTTGTAAATATTGCACTTGCAAAATCAATACCTATTTTATTAAGTATTGTGATGATGAACTTTTAATAGAAACTGAAAGATAAAGGATCCTTTTTCAGATATTATGCAGTAGGCATATCAATAAATGGTGTGGATTTAAAAAAAACCAGTACGATGGGAGGAAAATGCAACTTTCCCCACACTCCATGTTAGGATTCACTGCCTTGCCTTCTGGTATGAGGAAACGTCTGGTCAGTTTTCTGCAATATTTACACTTGGAATCTCTCCATCTGTGTGTGTTGTCTTCTCAGGCTGTTTCTTCCCAGAGTTGCTTACAAGGGCAACATGACAGCAACAGGGACCACCCTACTAAAATATCCATTCTCAAGGAGCCTCGCACTTGCTGCTGGTGACTTGACTATTTGTTTTTATTCAGTGTCTATGATGAGGAACAAGACATCAGTAAATTCAGGCTGGCAGTCCACAAAACACTCCTGCTTGTTTCAGCAGTAAAAACATGAGGAAATATCTGTGCTGTAAATATGGTTTTAATATATACACATCAGTTTTCCTTAGTAGTGGACGTTCAACTCCATTGTAATGTTTCTTCTCCACAGTAGAGAATCCAAAGCTGACATAAATTTTGCAGGGAAGTTTGAACCAGGCTCTTACTTGAAGAACTTTCTTTCAACATTACCGTGGATTTTGTATTCTAATATAGCATTTGTTTCGCAGGTATAAGTCTATTTGCATTGCTTCACAGAAGGAAATACTACATCAGAATACACCCCAAAGCAAGGAGAAGGTTTTGCTTGTTTGTTAATGCTGTCCTATTTACTGACCAGTAATATAAGTCTTTCCCACTGGGGGAGACATGGATGTGCTTATCCTTCATTCATTTGTAGATTTGTTAATTAGTTGCAATATACTGACTCTTTTTTTCAATGCTGGCAAAAAAAAAGTGTTTAATTGCTACTGGTGGTATAAAAATGAGTGACAACAGAATAGGATGGTAGAACTCACAACGTCTTTGTCCTTCTGTAGAAATCTTATTATTTCATTGAGAATAGGATGAAACCTTTCATTCCCTTTATTTCAGTGCTGGGTTGGTGCAACATTTTCTAACAATAATACATTTCTGATCATGAGAGAGAGCGGAATTTGTATGTTTGCCTTATGGCAAACGCAGTATTTGTTTACAGTGGAGGTTTGGATGGAATGCTGTCTCAAGTTTCAACTAACCATGCTTCAGTCAGCACAGGGTTTTTTGAACAGTTGTATTAAAATGCCAGTGAATGGCTCACTGTAGACATAATGCCAAACCATGGCTTGAATTACTCTGAATGATCTTCGGGCTAATGTGCTCCCTCTTCTGTTGCACAGTAGAATTCCCTCTCTGTCTGTTTGCTGTTACATCTCAGCAAAATATAACTTGCATAAAGACTGTTGTTCCAAGGTGGGCATTGTGATGGAAGAAGACGGGTATGAGAGTATGAGCCAGAGGCTGATTTCCATGCTGGAAATCAGCAAAATATAACTTGCGTACAGACTGTTGTTCCAAGGTGGAAGAAGACGGGAATGAGAGTATGAGCCAGAGGCTGATTTCCATAGCATTAAATCAAGGTTTTTATTAGGTCTGAATTCAGTCAATAAACCTAGGTGACATCATCTGTTTTGCAAGTGGATGGTTTTGTTTTCATGGTGTAAATCATTAAAACTGTGTAATGTTTTAGACGTGGGTGGCACCCTGCCTTCCTCACCTGTCTATTTCCCTTAAAGAATAAATGCTGGGACCAGATATTTCACTTGAGGCTTTTGAGAGGTTCTAAGAGAACAAGTGGAATTGCTTATCTTTCCTGCTATAATCTTTTGGCAAATTTTTGGTTTAAGATACCCTGGGTTTGAATTCATGGATCTCAATTCAATTTAAAAAAATGGAAATATGCTAGTCACCAGGAGCAATATGTCTTGATAAATCAAAAACTCCTTTATTTTTCATGGTGTTTTTGTTTCTTTGTGATCTGGTATCTTCAGTAATCTTGTTCCATGAAATTACCAAAACTTGAGAAAAGCATTTACATAATTTATATTTTCAAACTTTTAAATGGCTTACCTTTGAAAGGTAAAGATTGAATACACTGTTTATAAATGCCAATAAAAACCTCATTGATTTCATATATGCAAGTTGATTTGCACATCTGTAAATAGATATTCCTTGGGTTATTTCACATAGTTTTGTTATGGTTTCTCTTTTTGTAGTTTGTAGAAGCAATTGTGTTGGGGAAAGTTTTGGTGTTTGCACGACAATGTCACAACACATTCTGCTAATAATATTTGTGTGCCTTTTTAATTTTTTTTAATAATTGTGTTTTGGGATGTGGACAATGCCTGAACAACTATAATGGAACACTGATTTGAGGATTAATTAATACTTTATGCAAATATTAGTTTTATACATTCTGAATTATTTTCAATTAAGGATTAACAAAGCTGCTAAGAAACAAAGAACATTCTCCAACAGGTCAACAGAATGCTGCCCATTAATATTAAGTTTTGTATCAAAATACCATATACTTATTGCAGGAGGGAGACTACAGTTGTCTCATGCTTATGGAAGTGGTATGGTTTGTTGCTGTGCTTATAAGACCTAGAATGAAAGGAAGCTGTTTATATTTTTAGCTTGATAAAATAGGACCTTCACCAACTGCTCAGAACTTTAGTGCAAGGTTCCTCCTATTCCTCTCACTTATATTGTCCTGTTGCTCCAAGGACAATAAAAATCTGTGTTTTTCTTCTTCTCAGGATGTGTTGTTCCCATTCATTTGCCCTACTTGAGCCCACATATTTAGTTCTTACAGCTGTTCTCATCTGTTATGTTTTTGCAATAGTCAGACCACTGTTGTAGGACCAGGTCCACTATGTAGTTGAGGTGATTTAATTGTTTATGGCACTTAAGGCAAGGTTTTGAGTAATTTCTCTCACCCCCCACAATGTTCCCCTCCAGCATTTGAAGGGTTTGCAGTGGTTAATTTCTCCTCCCCCATGTTCTTTCCTTTGTTTGTGTTGCCATCAACATTCTATGCCTTCTAGAGTGTATTCCGTTCTCATGTGACTTTTTCTTGGAGGAAGAAACAGCTTCCTTGTCTGTGGATGATCCTATTTTGCTACTTTAGTGTTTGGCATGAGGGCCAGGTCCTATAGCATATATTGTTAAAAGTATAGAAGTATTTTGGGAGTAAACTTCAGTGCATCTCTGGTGATGATCATAAATATTTGAAGTAGTCACAGACATTGCTTCCAAGAAATATCATCCATGAACACAGTCATATCAGTCCACATGTTCCTGTCTCTGCATGGAGGATTTTATACTATGTAAATAGGCAGTATGTTAAATGTATTTAATGTTTATGAATATGGAACAGAGAACTCATTGGGGTCACCAT